TTAGACACAATAGCTTTGGGGACAATATCAGGGTGCACCATATCTAAGGTCAATCATAAAATAAAATAATTAAAAACTGACTGAATTCGACGTTGAACTAATTGGAAAAGCAGTTTTGTATGACATTCAACAACAATTCAAAAATATATTTCCAAACGCATCATTCATTTTTTCAGAAAAAAAATCAAATTATAGGAAGTAATGAGGAAGGAAACACTTTTATATTACATTAAGTTTCAGGTTTTTTTGTTACCTTTTTTGATGTTAAAAACTAGATAAATGTTATTTTGAAGTACAAAAATTGATTGAGTGTGGAATGAGGTTTTGGTAGGATTCAAAGAAGAAATGATGATGTGATCATGAGTGAAGCAAACATGCAAGGTGGAGTTTTATTAAATTTCCTGCTTGACAATTTCAGAAATGCACTTCTAAAATATTAGTTGAAATACATGCAATGTGGTATTTTTTCAAATTTCCGCTTGACAAATTCAAAGTTGCACTTCACTGAGATGTTAAATTAATAAAATCAATGTAGGGGTGTGTTTAGAGATACACTTCCAAGCTAATGTTTAGAAAAATAGGGTTGTGTCTCACTTAAAACATGTTTTTGTGTGAAATAGATGTGTCCCGAGATGTAGAGGATTTAACATGACAACCCCTGTTATACATGGCAACCCCTCAAAGGGTATGAAAATACTAAATTATCCAAATCCAAAAATTTCTCAAAAATTCCAAATTTCCAATACCACACCGTATTTTTTAAATTCACTGGGAGATACCGGAAATTTCAAGGAGATACTGAAAATTTTGTGAAATAGTAAGGAATTTACGGTGGATTTGTGTAATTTCAGATATTTTGTACCAAAAATTTCAAAATATCTGGTATATTCTAACCGAAAATTTCAAAATTTCAGGGTTTAGTATTTACCTTTTGTACCAAAAATTTTGAAATTTCTGGAGCTTTGCAGCATGTACCAGAAATTTAAAAATTTCCGATAGTTCAATTTTTTAAAAAAAATATTGGAAATTTCTAAATCTACAGTAGTTCATATTTTCCTTTTTTCCCCTCCTTTTATTCATAGTTTCAGTGAGGACAAGGGGCAAAGATGGTTTTGTTACGCGCAGGGTGGCTGATTGAGCGGAAGCTCAGGCCCGAGCTGATGAGGCACATGCTTTTGAACTACGGTCTAGACGATGTCCTCCAACCGTTTCTCACTGATCGCGCACCTCGTCGTTGAGGAGTTAGAGTTTCTACTGCCGAGGAGGTACACGCTTATGTTCCTGTGAATGTGCCTGTGATTGAGCTGACTTTTGAGCAGACTATTGAGGAGGTTGTGCCTGTTGTGGAGCCGATTCATGAGCAGGTTATGGTGCCCATTTCGGAGTAGGTTATGGAGCCCATTTTTGAGCAAGTTATAGAGCCGGTTGTCGAGCAGGTTGTGGAGCTGAAAACTGAGCAGGTTGTAAAGCAGGTTCAGGAGGTTGTTGCTAAGTGTGTTGACAACGCCACTGATACAGACACCATGACTCGTGCGTCTATGGAGCCATCAGTTCACACTGATGGAGCCTTTCAAGAAGGACCTTCAGAGACGCTCGTGCTCATAGGATTTGTTGACCATGTCGCTTACAAGATATGGCATGGCGAGATATATATTTTAATTGGTTGATGTATAATATTTTATTTTTGCAAGTGTTTGAAAGTTGATATATAATATTTTATTTCTCCTTCTTATAGGAGCGTCCGGTGCTGAAGGTCGCTTCCCATGGTTCGAAGTTGAAGAACTTTCTAGAGGGTGACATGCCTGAGATGGTCAGTAGTATTATTAGATATTTTCAGCTGTTGGAGTTTGCTCAGTGCTCCTTGACCATGATGGACGCCTCCCTGTTCTATGCTTTTGTTGAGAGGTGGCACCCAGAGACATCATCCTTTTATCTTTCATTTGGGGAGATGAAGGTCACATTGGATGATGTCAACACCCTGTTTCATATCCATATCGTTGGTACATTCTTCACACCTCCTCATATTAACTCTGCAACAGTGGTGCGCATGGTTATGGATGATTTAGAGGTATCCAAGGCGAAGGTGCTAGAGAAGTTTAGCTTTAACCGGGGATTTCACCTTCGGATGTCTTTGCTTAGAGAGAGGTACGCGGAGCATGTGGAGGCTCATAGGTACGAAGTTGCCATTATGGCGTACATGCTACATCTGGTGGCATGTACTCTTTTTGAGAACAAGTATGGAGTTTACATCGATGTTCGTTACATGTCTCTGTGACACTCCTTGTTGGGCTTAGGGAGTGGCGGCGTTGACCATGATGTACACGACACTTGGAATTGCTACTCAGCCTGAGACCAGACAACTGGCTAGTTACCTGATCCTTTTGCATGTATACTATAATTTATTTGATGGTTTTTCTTATTTATTTGGGTGTATTTATTTGATTGTTTTTATTTATGCAGTGCTGGATATACGAGCATTTTCCCCACATATGTGACTGAAAGATCCAGCGTGTCCCGACTACTGTATCATGTGCGAGGAGATGGAAGGCCAAACAAGCCCTTCCATGAGGTTTGATGGAGTACCGGAGGAGGCTTGACGCTCTGACCATGGAGGATGTCGTCTGAACACCATATACATCTCACTGGCCTCATCGTACATTTGACGAAGCTTCTTTGTATTAAGGGAATAGTAGGTGGGAGAACCATGTGACTAGACACTTTCCTGAGAAGTGCCTATGACAATATGGTTTGATCCAGGACATCCCTCGTCCAGTTCCCAAGGCTCCAGTTGGTGGCATTGACAGATGGTTTCAGAGTCACATCATCAACTCTTCCTGTGAGATCAGGGAAAGATCAGATGTGGTTCAGCATCCTTTATAGTATGAGGATGGATATCTAGAGTGGTATCAAAGTGTATCACACCCTCGGGTCATACCACCGGCTGCAACATCTGATGTTTCGGGGCCTTCACGTGCTAGGGTTGATGCTGAGCCGCCAACACCACCTCCACTACCTGCAGATGATCAGGACAGCCACCTACAACTTATTGCAGTTCATTTAGATAACCCCATGGGTTTGGTAAACTCTGTTGGTGAGATTTATACAGGTTTAGCTAGGTAAGTTGACGTAGCCCATAGAAGGCTTATGTAGATCTGTTTTATTTTGATTGTATTATATGTATATTTTGTGACACACATACTTCTTATTTATTGCATAATATTTTGGCGATTACATGTTTCAAATCGGTGATGAGCATAACATAAAACAATACAACAAACAAAAACTAAAAACAACTAAACATGAAAACCTAGGCACTATCGGATGATTCTGGACGTTTCAACATCTTGATTATGTCATCGACAGATCTTCGGATCTCTGCATCCCACTCGATCGGACCTTTAGTTATCCTACGGCAAAATGTTTTCCACGTGACCTTCACATTTTCATCGATCTTCAACTCAACCAGGTTGTATTTCACCCAACCATTTGTATCAATATAATGGTCCTGAAACTTGATCTTTGTCACCCTTTTGTTATCGAAATCAGGCAGCAATGCATTCAACATTTCTTTCAAGGTGGAAAGGGATGTGCTGTCATTTGGAAGCTTGAATTCAACAGCAGGGTTGCATCAGTTGTAATACACTTTTACCTTAATCAGAAACTAAGGAAGAGACATTTTTTAAGATGTCTTTCTCTATAACACATGCCCCCTATTTATACAAATGACGATGCATTCTAGACCATACAAAGATGTCGGTGCAATCAGAACCCTCCAAAGATGTCAGCAAAATCTCGACCATTAAAAAAACTTGAATAAATGAACTACCGGAAATTTTAATATACTCAAATTTCTAGTACTGTCTAGTAAGTTTGAAATTACCGGGACATCAGAGATTTCAAATACACTACCGAAAATTTACTTAAACAAAAAATTTCTCAAGGTGTACCAGAAATTTTGCCTGTACCGAAAATTTCAAAACCTTTACCAAAAATTTCGTTCGAAAATTATTTATATCTTAACAAAGATAATTCAACGATAATTAAAATTGGGAGGTGACATGTTTAATTTGTAGATTGTGATGTTAAATTCTCCGAGATGTACTTTCAGACATAATCAATTTCTAAGGCTCTCATCCTCCTTTTTTTTTATTGATTGAAAGTTAATTTTGCATTTTGGAAATAAATCGATTTAAATTTCACATAAAGCCATGAAATTCAAATAAATTTCATCCAATAAAAAATTAGATGTAAAAAAGATAAGATATTAAAATATTTTATTTAAATATTATTTTCTGACAGTATTATATTCTATATTATTATGCAGTTATATATATTTATTTAATTATAATTAGTTACTTATTAATTATGAACCTTAATTGATTAGTGATTAAATAAAATAACACAATTAACTAAATTATAAATTCAATATTTTTCTATTTATAGTTGAGTTGAAAATTAATCTCTTACACTAAATCCAGCCTAGTGTTTTTATAACATATGTTGTTATTTCATAAATAAAAAGTAAACATTATTTCCTCCATCTCAAAATAAATGTTATATATATTTAGAAGAGAAAAAATTGTCCCAAAATATTTGTCACTATTCTCTCTCTTTAATTTATTATAGTTTCTTAATCTGTGTGAAACAATTAATTGCTGAGAGTATATTTTTTTAGTCAAACAATAAATATCACATCTTGTATACATGAAATGCGTTAACGTATATATAATACAGGAAATTGTCGCTCAATTTATATTAGAGCAAACTACATTAATTATTGCTACTTAATTCAGGCTGCTTACGTTAAGTGAATTCATGTTCTTCAGTATGTCCATTAATAGCAAACATTAAGTTAAAATTACGTTTTGTGCATGTGTTGAATTTATGAGTTTAATTGAATCAAATAAGATCTCACCATTTAAGTAGTAATAATACTCACTGCTCAAAGTCTACATTCAGCTTTGTTGAGAAATCTCACCATTCATATTGAAGCTCCAAAAATGTCCTACTTTGACAACTCAATAGGTAACTTTCATTCTTTTTCATTCTTTAGCATTGAATGAGTTATGTAAGCAATCATTCTTTATTCGATTATGCAATGCAGGTGAAATTTCTGAGCCACTGCTAGCTCAAAAAGTTGAAACAAAACAAACAGGAATAGGTCATGCTACTTTTCTCAGTAGATTGTTTTTCTCTTGGATTAATTCTTTACTCAGTTTAGGTTACTCAAAGCCACTAGACCTTCAAGACATTCCTTCTCTTGTTCCTCAAGATGAAGCAAACATGGCATATAGAAAATTTGTTCATGCTTGGGATTCACTTGTTAGAGAGAGGACTAAGAACAATACAAAGAGTTTGGTTCTTTGGTCTATAGTTAGAACTTTCTTAAAAGAAAACATATTAATAGCATTTTATGCATTAATCAGAACTATTTCTGTTGCAGTTTCACCTCTAATACTGTATGCTTTTGTTAACTACTCAAATAGAACTGAGGTAGATCTTAGAGAAGGTTTTTCAATAGTTGGTTTTCTTATTCTCGCCAAAGTCGTCGAGTCTTTGTCTCAAAGACATTGGTTTTTTAACTCAAGGAGGTCAGGAATGAAAATGAGATCGGCGCTGATGGTGGCAGTTTATCAAAAGCAGCTAAAGCTTTCTAGCTCAGCAAGGACGAGACACTCGGCCGGCGAGATTGTGAACTACATTGCAGTTGATGCTTATAGAATGGGAGAATTTCCATGGTGGTTTCATTTAACGTGGACTTCTGCATTGCAACTTGTTCTTTCCATTGTTATCCTTTTTGGTGTTGTTGGTATTGGTGCTCTTCCTGGTTTAGTCCCTATTCTTATATGTGGACTTCTCAATGTACCATTTGCAAGGATCCTGCAAAATTGTCAGTCACAGTTTATGATTGCACAGGATGAACGTCTTCGATCCACTTCAGAGATTCTAAATAGTATGAAGATCATTAAGTTACAATCATGGGAAGAAAAATTCAAGAACTTAGTCTATTCGTTACGCGATAAAGAGTTTGTATTGTTGTCTAAGGCACAGAAACTGAAAGCTTTTGGATCATTTCTTTATTGGATGTCTCCTACAATGATATCTGCTGTTGTTTTCCTTGGATGTGGTGTTTCCAAGAGTGCACCATTGAATGCTGAAACCATTTTCACAGTTCTTGCAACATTGAGGAACATGGCAGAACCTGTTAGAATGATCCCTGAGGCTCTATCCATTATGATTCAAGTTAAGGTTTCCTTTGACCGTCTCAATAACTTTTTGCTTGATGAAGAACTAAACAAAGATGATAGTGAAAGAAACATGAAGCAATGTTCGGTTAATGCTGTGGAAGTTCAAGATGGCTACTTCATTTGGGATCATGAATCTGTTTCTCCAACCTTAACACATGTGAATTTAGAAATCAAACGGGGACACAAAATAGCTGTTTGTGGACCAGTTGGTGCTGGAAAATCATCACTTTTGTATGCAATACTTGGAGAGATTCCCAAGATTTCAGGAACTGTAAGTTACTAATAGAACATATTCATGTGAATAAACATAGTATAGTATCTTCAAATTTTTCACCCATGACATTTTACTATAACGGAAAACAGGTTAATTTAGGTGGCAATCTTGCCTATGTTTCTCAATCTTCATGGATACAAAGTGGAACAGTTCAAGATAATATACTCTTTGGCATGCCAATGGACAGAACAAGATATGAGAAAGCAATTAAAGCTTGTGCCCTAGATAAGGATATTAATGATTTTAGCCATGGTGATCTTTCAGAAATTGGTCAGAGAGGGATTAACTTGAGTGGAGGACAAAAGCAAAGGATTCAACTAGCTAGAGCAGTCTACAATGATGCTGACATCTATCTTCTTGATGATCCTTTCAGTGCAGTTGACGCACATACAGCTGCAATACTATTCAATGTAAAGAACCATCACTTTTATCGTGTTAATTAATGAATGATAATAAATAATTTTGTCCTCATTTTGATGTATCAAAAACTAACTGCGCCTACAACATTATAGGACTGTGTCATGACTGCTTTAAGATCGAAAACAGTCATTCTAGTTACTCATCAAGTGGAGTTTCTCTCAGAAGTTGATACTATCTTGGTAAAGTATTTCAGTTGGATGTCTATTTATATGATGTATGGAGATAATTTAAGTATTTAACATTATGAACTCAAATTCTAGGTAATGGAGGGTGGAAAAGTTATTCAATCGGGTAGTTATGAGAATCTCCTGAGAACAGGAACGGCCTTTGAACTACTTGTGAGTGCTCATAAAGACACAATCACTGAGTTGAATCAAGATAATGAAAATAAAAGAGATTTTGAAAATGAGGTTTTTTCTAATCCTCAAGACTCTCAAGGTTTTCATCTCACTAAAAATCAAAGTGAGGGAGAGATTTCTAGTATCAAGGGTCCAATTGGTGTACAACTTACACAAGAGGAAGAAAAAGTGACTGGTAATGTTGGATGGAAGCCATTTTGGGATTATATTAATTATTCCAAAGGGTCATTCATGCTATGTTTGATAGTGTTAGCACAATCTGTGTTTATAGCTTTGCAAACTGCATCCACCTATTGGCTTGCAATAGCCATTGAGATTCCAAAAGTAACTAATGCCACCTTGATTGGAGTTTATGCATTCATTTCTTTTGCTAGTGCTGCTTTTATATATATAAGAACTTACTTGACTGCGCTTTTGGGATTAAAAGCTTCTACTGTTTTCTTCTCAAGCTTCACTACAGCTATCTTCAATGCTCCAATGCTTTTCTTTGATTCAACTCCTGTAGGAAGGATTTTAACTAGAGTAAGTGTTTTTTTTCATTACTTTCTGTTCATTCATTACTTTTTAATAACTAACCTCTATGATTTTACTAATATTTTCTCTCTTATGTAGGCTTCATCAGATTTGAGTATTTTGGACTTCGATATACCTTATTCCATCACCTTTGTAGCATCTATATCAATTGAAATTTTGGTGGTTATTTCTATAATGGCTTCAGTCACATGGCAAGTTCTCATTGTGGCTGTTCCTGCAATGGTTGCATCAATATACATTCAGGTTTATTATCCACTTTCCATCTTTTCTTGGTTAGCCATTATCTTTCCATGGTTAGATTAAGAACTTCTTAATCTCATTTTTCTTTTTCTTTTTCTTCTCAAAGAAATATTATCAAGCCACTGCAAGGGAGCTAACTCGGATCAACGGAACCACCAAAGCTCCAATCATGAATTTTGCAGCTGAGACATCACTTGGAGTGGTCACTGTAAGAGCATACAACATGGCAGACAGATTTTTCAAAAATTACTTAACACTTGTGGACACAGATGCTTCATTGTTCTTTCATTCCAATGTGGCAATGGAATGGGTAGTTTTAAGGATTGAAGCAGTTCAAAATTTGACTGTCATCGCTGCAGCTTTGTTGCTTATTCTACTTCCTCAAGGATATGTATCGCCAGGTAGTAATTAAATAGTGACAGAACATGGTAATATTTTGTTCAAGCTAATAACTCTCCTATTCTGTGCAGGCCTTGTGGGACTATCTTTTTCCTATGCTTTTACTTTGACAGGAGCACAGATATTTTGGACTAGATGGTTTTCCAACTTATCAAACTACATTATCTCTGTAGAAAGAATCAAGCAATTCATTCACATACCAACTGAGCCTCCTGCCATTGTGGAGGATAACCAACCGCCATCTTCATGGCCTTCCAAGGGAAAGATTGATCTTCAAAGCGTGGAGGTAACATCGCATCCATGTCTTAGAATTTGGTTTTAAGAGTCTAACTCGTGTCTATGAAACTAACTTATAAAGAAAGGTCTCCCTATAATCTACACTTTCAATATTCTCCTGTTTATTTCTGAAGTGAACAGAAAAGTTCTGTTTTGATAGCTGTTTTACTTCGGTTTCAGGTTAGGTATCGCCCTAACGCTCCATTAGTCCTTAAGGGAATCACATGTACATTTAAAGAAGGGAGTAGGGTAGGAATTGTTGGAAGGACTGGAAGTGGGAAAAGTACACTTATAAGTGCTTTGTTCCGCTTAGTTGAGCCTTCAAGAGGTGATATTCTCATTGATGGAATAAACATTTGCTCAATGGGGTTGAAGGATTTGAGAACAAAGCTAAGCATAATCCCTCAAGAACCAACTCTTTTCAAAGGAAGCATTAGGACAAACCTAGACCCTCTAGACATGTACTCAGATGATGAAATATGGAAGGTGAATGAACTAACTTTACAAGTGGTCAAAAAAATGTGTAGCTATTAAATGTAGTTGAATATCAATTTTGACTAAACTTGATTTGTATGTTTAGGCTGTAGAGAAATGTCAGCTAAAGGAAACAATCAGCAAGCTACCAAGTCTCTTGGACTCTTCAGGTAAATCTTTGGCAACAATATCTTTCAACATTAAGGAAACTAAATAATCGTTTTGCAACAAACAAAGTGTAACTCTGATAAGTTTTGCAGTGAGTGATGAAGGTGGAAATTGGAGTTTGGGACAAAGGCAATTGTTTTGTCTTGGAAGAGTTCTACTTAAGAGAAACCGAATTCTTGTTCTGGATGAAGCTACTGCATCCATTGACTCTGCTACAGATGCCATTCTACAAAGAGTAATTAGACAAGAATTTGCAGAATGCACAGTTATAACTGTTGCTCACAGAGTTCCAACTGTAATAGACAGTGTCATGGTCATGGTCCTCTGTTATGGTATGTTAAATTCCTTAATCTTCTCTACTTTAATTTTCAAGTACTAATTTTTGCCTCATAATGTTTGGTTGGTTATTATTAAAGGGAAAGTGGTGGAATATGATGAGCCTTCAAAGCTAATGGACAACACCAACTCTTCATTCTCTAAGTTGGTAGCTGAATATTGGTCTAGTTGCAGTAAGAGTTCCTTCCCAAACATTAGAAGACAATGAATGCTGACCTAATGGAAAGAAATGCAGTAAAATAACTCGAGGAAAATCGCTCACATCAGAGTAGTTATTATGATCATGACCCTGGAAGATAGTGTTCTACATTTGTTTACACTCTTTTTTTTTTGTTTCTAAAGCACATGTACTTGTAATAGGATTCAATATTTCATGAACTGTTTCCATTAACATATTTGACCTAATAATCTAATCAAAATTGAGGAGATAATTGGATAGCATATAATTGAAAATGCATTGGAAGAATGAATGAACTGAGTTCCAGAGATTATTTACCTCTAGAACTCATGGCGTTGTTACACCGAGTTGGTTTACCAGTGCCGTTCAAGGTTGACGTGGAATTCCAGTGGTTTCGTGAGATGGTTCTCCGGGAAGTCCTGCGGTGGCTCTGGGGTTGCAGGCATGGGAGTTTTGAAGGGCGAAATGGAAATCGCAAGAAATTTTATAGGAATACCCTCCCAATTGATGTGGGATACCGACTACCACAAACTTTCAAAAATCCAAAAATACCCTTTTGCTCTTTTTCTTCTCTTTCATTTTAGTATTTTCTTTTTCATATTTCTCTATTTTTTGTTTTTCTATTTCTCCCTCTTCCAGCCCCGTTTTTTTTTTTTTTCATTTAAGTCTCGTATCACTGCATCTAAGTCTCATCTTCACTAATATGAATTCTGATTTTTGAATTTTGATTTGGTTCTAGATTTTTTGAAAATTGTAGATTTTAAAATTTAGTTTGTCTACACTGTGTCAGAGAATTTTGGATTATTTGGATTGACAATGGATCATGGATTCTAGTCTGTTATGATTGATCTCAAATTGTTTGGCCTGAAATGGCCGTGATTACTTACCGTAGTTTGTGAGTAGGTGTTGGTTAATGAATTTGTTATCGCATTGGTGATCAACTTCATTCTCCTTACTCAAAATTTGAGTTTAGTGATTGTCATTTCATGTGTCATATTTTTTTTATAATTTGGTTTCATGTCCTAAGTGGTTTGCTAAATTGTGCACATGATGTATGGATGGATGTCTGTAATTCATATTTGTTTTAATATTGTTTTATTGTGTCCTTAATCTTTTGTTCTTTTTTTTTATAATTTTAATAGACTTCGGTTTTATAAAAAATGGAAATTTCTTAATGCATCATAGGTATTACTAGCAGATCTCGTAAAAATACAATATTGTCCCCCAGGTTTCGAAGATACATCTCCAGACACCAAAATTCAATACACTTCTGAATCAGACCCTAAATCAATGGAAATAATGTTATGGAGATACATTTATGTATATTTTACGTAGATGCATTTCTGGACGCACCAAAATTCAGTACAAATGTGAATCAGGCCCTAACTCTATGTAAATATATTTGGGAGATACATCTTCGTATACCTTACGTAGATGTATCTCCGGACACTCTTTATTCTAAAACGCGCCAGAAGCCCTTCCCCTTCCTCAAACTCTCAAACTTCATTTTCTCAAACTCTCTCAAACCACATTAAAGCCACTTCAAACATCTAACATCAAGCAATTTCAAGCAGTTATTTATAAGTTTTTTGTAAAATTTATTGAGTTTTTGTATAAATGTGTAGAAGTTGATTTTTAGGTTATGAAATAGATAGATTTTACATGTTTGATAGCTTATACCTAATGAGAAATGAGTTAGATAGGTAGTTTTACGATCAATGCATTATTTTTAATGATTTGTGGATCTGCATTCCGCCATTGACAGTGTTGAGAGTTGTAGGTAATTACGAAGATGCATTTGACGGGTCACGTTTCACGTTTCCTCATCTGCCTAAGTGCGTCATGCATCACTTTGAATAAATGCAATATATTCCCAGAGATCCTTCTGTGCTTGCTCCTCCCACTATGAAATGTAGAGATATAGGTGTTATGTTTGACGATTATCTTAATCATCTGGTATCGGAGAAGGTACGGAGTACCATAGCTGAGAGCAACTAGAGCTACATAGACAATTACATCCAGTGGTTCTTCCGGGTGTCACATCCATATATGGTGCAGGGTGCTCTAGGAGATCCACTGAGGGCCATTCATCAAGAAATACTAGAGGAGGAGTGGGTTATGACAGATCATATTGTTGATGCGTTGCCTAAATATCGTCGTATCATGGAGATTGGGCAGACAGATATTGACAGATGACTCTTTCTGGATAACAATGAGGTGAGGGTCGTTGTAGATGTCATGATGGTGAAGGTTCGGGAGACACTGGTGTACAAGAGGCAGCGTAGGAATAGGGGAGCCAGTAGATTATAGTAATTGTACTCTGGATTTATTTTGGGGTCATATTTTATTTATCGACTTCATTATAACTTTTGGATTGGATTTATGTAATTTTAATTTATAACTTTATATATGTCAATTTTTGCATATCCTTTGTATTGTCGAATTCATCATAGTATACCTTCTGACTATTTCATTTGAGCATTACTTAAATAAACTTAGAATTTGTTGTCTTCACTAGATACGGAGATACATCTTTGAATGCTTTCTGATGAAAAATCAAAGATACATCTTCGAAACAATCTAACGCTTAGCAAATAAAAGTGTGACCGAAGAGAAATCTATGAAAACTGAGGGACATTTTTGAAATAACATAGGTGTGATAAGAAATTTCCAAAAAAAAAAATTATTTTTGTTTTGTTCGGGAGTTTGGAGGGGAAACAAGGGGAGGATTTTGAAAAAAAATCAAGAACTAAGTGAAAATGATTTGTTTTTATTTATAACACCAAAAACTCTCTAATTTGAAAGCATTTAAAATTTATATTGGACGAGAATTTTAAAGAACTTAGACAAATTACTCAAATATAATTTTTATTATTATAGTATTTAAAAAATTAAAAACATATAGATGATAAACATTATTTTATTATTTTATATAAAATCATTTTTTCTAAAAATATTAAAGATTTTTCTATATTTAAAAATATATATTTTTCGACGCTCTCCTTTTTCCTTCCTTTCAAACTACCAAACAAAACCTTATTGAATTTGCTTAAGATTTCATACAAATGTTTTATCTCAATTTTATCACAGATTTTACAATTATCAGATTTCAAAATATAATTTATAAATTGATTTAATTCTTTCATTTTCATTTCTTGGAGATTTAGCATGATTCTTATATATCAACATTTTTTTAACTCATCATTTTCTTTGCAAACTTTAGTACTTAGATTATATATTGTTTATGAGAAAAAAATGATTATTTCCTCAACATCTTCACAATTAATCATAGGATAAAAATTTACTTCTTCAATTGAATCTTTAAAATTGTTGCCCTTCTTTTTATGTCTAGAGAAATGTCCTTAATCAAAAAATTTAGAATTTTTGGATTAAAATTAAAACTTAAAAGAACTAGTTTAAAATTAAAATAAGTAAAAAGACAAACATTACAAATGGCAAATATATGCATTTGGAAGGGGGGAAATTGTAAAGCTTAAAATTTTAAGTAATGATTTTTTACCATGAAGTTGTCAATATTAACATAACAAGTTGGGTAGTTAGACTATACTTTTGGATGCTCGTCATTTCACCATTATTATCAAATCAAATTATATCACAATTGTTCTGTTAAATATATGTTCAACAGTAATAATTCTTAAAATTGAAATTCATACATGAATGAAGAATTATGCGATATTAGATCAAGTTTTATTTGGTCGAAGTATAATTTCTGATTCGACAGGATTTATGTATGTCGTCGAAATATGTTTAAATGTTGGTGTTGATGACCTACACACTGTAGTCTAAGTGTGTTCTAGTATGTGAGTGTCGAAATGTTAGGATTGTAATTATTTCGAATTGAGTATGTTTGTTATGTTTAATTGTTTAAGTTAGTTTGTACCCTAAGTTAACTTGTAATGGGTATTTGGAAGAAAAAATCCATTAGTTTAGTATGTTAGGTTTATTATAAATAGCATATCAGTCTCTCATCATTGCATACTGCAAATCTTAATTTAGAGTGACAGGGTTATTTGTTATTCTTGTGTACTTGTATTCTTGTTCTAAGAGAAAGTAAAGAATAGCAGTTAATATCCAATCATCGTTGTTCTTCATGTTTTTCCATCTTTTCTACCCTAATTGTTTCTTGATCATAAAGAAACCTATTATACTTTGTTTCAAAGGTATCGTGTTTCACAACAAATTGGTGTGGTGAGCATGAAGAAGATGCCTTCAACAAAGTATGAGATTGAAAAGTTCATCGGAGTGAACTATTATGGTTTGTCGCGCTTGAAGATGAAAGCCCTACTGGTTCAGCAGGGTTGTTTGGAAGCGTTGAAGGGAACGTCAGGCATGGATGATGCGTTAATGGAAAAAGGAAAAGACGGTCATGATAGAGAAATCCCACAGTGCAATCTTGTTGAGAATTGGTGATAAGGTTCTTCGACATGTATTAAAGGAGACGAAGACATCAGGGTTATGGGTGAAACTTGAAAGTTTGTACATGACCAAATCACTGATAAATCGACTCTATCTGAAGCAAGCTTTTATATTCATTCAAGATGATTGAAGACAAAGTATTGGCTGAGCAGTTGGATATGTTCAATAAGTTGATTCTTGATATTGAAAATATTGATGTGAAGATCGATGATGAAGATCAAGTGATGTTGTTGTTGTGCGCTTTGCCCAGAACACATGCCCACTTCAAATAAACTCTCTTGTATGGAAGAGAGTCTCTGGCCTTTGAAGAAGTTTAATCAGCATTGCATTCTAAGGACTTGAACAAAAGAAAGTAGCATAAACCTTCGATGGTTGGTGAAAGTTTGGCCGTTAAGGAAAAATTATTACGAAAGGATGGTAAGTTCGACAAGAAGAAAGGTAAAAGTCAGCAGAAGTCTTATAGTGAGGAAGCATCTAGTATTTGATGTTGTCATTGTAAGAAGGAGAGTCGCACATGAAAGGCGTGTCCTGAACGCCTGAAAGATCATGGAGGTAATGATAATGGAAATGCAGCCATTGTTCAAGATGATTTC